CATTTCTATCCTTTGGAAAGACATATCTAACTTTTTTGTTTCAAAAGATAAACGAAAGCGAATTTTTGTAAAAACATCTAGTTCAAAGCCAATAACAACTAATTTAAATAATCTTATATCTTAGACAAAAATATCAATCAGTACACATCCTACATCCAATAGATTTAGTATAAAACGTCATTAACAGTCCGAGAAAAATATGACCTTGTGCAATGCTAAAATATAGGTATAAACAGATTGTAGTACCGCGAAACTGCATATGTGTATAACAAGAATATTTAGTATGGTTTTAATTTACTGATAACAAAATCAATATTTATACTAATAAACATAATATTCAAAGATATAATTACATTGTTGATTTGGTAACCTTTTAGAAAAAGTTTATTGAAAGGATTGAAATAAGGATAATTACCCTATTATCTCTAAAATTATAATAGATATTTAGAAACTTTTAATAGAAAAAATAATCAGCAAGACAAGATCTTGCAATTCTACATATTATCTTGAAAACTATAAGAGAAATATAGAAACGAAACATGATCAGCAGGTTAAGATTTATAAATAAATCAACACGAACGAACATCTTTAAGTCAACTCCTTAATGAAGTTATTGCCCTTTAATGACTATTTTCCACATTTTTTGCATTTTTGCCTATTATCTTGAAAACTATAATACTAGATAGATAGAAACTTAAAATGAGAAACATGACAAACATGATCAGCAAAACTGTAAGGCCGAAATCTACCGTCAACTCATTATTGGAGTTATTGCACTTTAAGGATATGTTTTTTTTATTGTCATTTTTGTTGATACTTTTTTTGTATGTAAGTCATGTCAATACTAAAGCACTGGTTACAGGCTTTAAGTGATTAGAATTCTTGTGTTTGAAGGCATTTTTATGTTTAGAATCTTGCCATTTGATTAGGGACTTTCCTTTTTGAATTTTCCTCGAGGTTTAATATTTTTGCGATTTTACTTTTTATAACACATTGTCACATGATACACTACGCGATTAACATTTTTGGTATTTTCATTTCATATATGATTGGAATTGAAATTTGCATTAAGATAATTATCACAATGTATTTTAACACTAATCGAAGACATGCAGTCTATTGTAAATTTACCTCTTCTGGTTTCAAACAAGGTAGCCATTTCATGAGGAAAATATCATAATCTTTCACTAACATAAAATATGTGAGCAATTTTAATAGATCATTAAAATTGGAAAACAATCGGCCAAAAGATTTATGAATTTTTTTTAACATGATTTATAAAAGATACTCAGTTAAGGATTTTATTCTATCGTTTCCCCGGGATACACGTCATCATACTTATATGATATATTTTTATGCCTTTTTATGGTGTAAAAGCTCTGAATCGTTTTATTTTTTGTTTGTACCTGGTGATTCTTATTCCTACAACATGTGTTGTACGCATGCGTCTTATTCTTAAACATGTGTTGAACGCAAACGGTTTTTTTGTTCGTCACTGAGTTTTAATTTTAAACTCTTCGTATAAACTACTTCGTCATACTTGATTAAAATTATATGTGAGTGATATGTAAATGAGACTTGCAACGTTAAGACAGAAAAGACACAAACATTAAATGACTATTGACTAAGGCAACAAGACGGGTGCCACATGCGGAGGAAGATCTGTTTACCTTTCTTGAGCACCTGAGATCACAGTTTTTGGTGGGGTTCGTGTTGCTCAGTCTCTAGTTTTATATGTTGTGTTTTGTTTGTCTTTTTCTTTTTAAGACATGTCGTTGTCAGTTTATTTTCGCCTTATAAGTTTGACTGTTTCTTTGGTATCCTTCGCCTTTCTTATAGCATGCACATTGTAGTAGAAATCTCGTGTCAAATTATTGTTATAATCTATATGATTTTACAAATGACTATGACTATGTACGTATCTTGTTTATCCGAATATACCTTTCTACATGTCAATTGTTGTGGAAACAGATTTTGTTATAGACTTACATTTCTTAGACAGTACACATTAAGAACAAAACACAAAATCTTTCCTTCAAATGTCGAAATGAACATATCAATCAAACATCGTCCATATCATGATGACAACATGTTATTTAGACTACCTTGCACTGGACCAGCATTCTTTCTCATCTGAACAACGTTAGTATGCCATAAAAACAACAGTATATGTAATGTTCATCAAATGTCTGGGTTTACTCGTTATCTTACAGCAAATGACGGAAGAAAATTAAAATTGATTTCATTGAAAAAACCTATGAAGTAGTATGTGCAAACCTACAACCTGTCACAAACTGTTACACAAATATTCTTATATATGAATAAAAGGAGATGTTAGAATGTTTTGATGTTTGGAATACGTCGATTAGACATATAAATGTATGAAGATGTGGTATGATTGCCAATGAGACAACTCTCCATCAGTCACAAAATGACATAGAAGTTACAAACAATAGTTAACCGTACAGCCATCAACAATGAGCAAAACCCATACTGCATTGCCAGCTATAAAAGGCCCCGAAAAGACAAATGTTAAACATTTCAAACGAGAAAAATAACGGTCTGATTTATGTACAAAGCAATAAACGGATATAGTACAGAACAACAAACGACAACCACTGAATTACAGGCTCCTGACTTTGGACAGAAATATTCAGAATGTAGCGGGGTTAAACATGTTTGCAAGCGCCTAACCCTCACTAACCTGGGACAGTGGTGTAACAGCACAACATAAGGACATAAAAACAAGTTATAAAAATTAATTGAAAAGGGCTTAACTCATCAGAATAATACAAAGCAGAAAAACAAGTAACAAAACCACAGACCGGATGTGGCAGGGCATTTATACATCCCCACAACAGAAGAAACCCATCTAACTACGGAAAAGCTTGATTTTGGTGGGCCTGATTATTAGCTACCATACGCATCACGGCGGGAATTTTGGCTTTGGTCACGATTATCCACACAGAGTGTTCTAATGTTTAGACGTTTTTTAAGATGTTAATTTATATATTTTTTATAGGTCAAATGGCCCCCATTCTCCCCCCTCTTTCCACTTGAAGTAGTTCCTTGTGCCTAAATACATTTGTCAATTTATTTGAAAGTGAAAATCATTTTGTTTGTTTGAAAAAATTTTGGTAATTTTGATTTAAGGAATAATATCAATTACATAAATGTACTGCGAGAAAAGGTCTTTGTTTCTAAAATCGGTAGTCACCTTGACCTTGCAAACAGGTATTCCTCGTCCCCCAACACTGCATGATAATAGTTCGTAGCAATAATTTCATGCTTTATTAATAAGGCATTTGAAAGTTATGAGTCGAACAAGAGTTTGCAATTATTTGAAATGGGAATGTGCTTTTTTCATTTTTGTGACTCGACCGTTTAGTAATATTATTTTACAAGCTTTTAGTCTGTCATAACTTTTGTAAATTTAAAATTACGTTTAAGGCCTGGTAGACAGAAGATCAATGCATGCTGTGGTGATGGGTTAAAATTATAAAAAAAAAATCATTTATATCCGGCATGTCAATTAAATGTTCCGAGTCGGACACGACTCTGTACATTCTAATATAGTGATTTAAAGTTTCCAATCTTTTATGGTAATATACTTTACAAAGCACAAAAATGTCAGTATTCACCTCAAAACTAACAAAACCTTTAAACAGACTTATTAAGAAGGGATATAGTTACGATACTGTTGTCAGGTCAATAAAGATTGCATATTTTGGCTTTAATAATGATTCACTTATAGGGTCTTTGCATCGGAATTAACACATTTATTCTAAAACCAGTTGTTGGCATGACACGGGTTATGTTCTTTTCATATATTTTATGACGGTATAATACTAAAACCCTAACAGGAGGGATTGTGCCTGATATTCATATGATGAAGACATAATCTTTCAATCAGTTTAATTGGGGTCTGGAGCTGGCATGTCAGTAACTGATAGTAGTCTGTTGTTATTTATGTATTATTGTCATTTTGTTTATTTTCTTTTGTTTCCTATTCTGACATCGGACTCGGACTTCTCTTATTCTGAGTTTTACTGTGCGTACTGTTGTGCGTTTGTTTTTTCTGCATTGGCTAGAGGTATAAGGGGAGGGTTGAGATCTGAAAAAACATGTTAAACCCCGCCGCATTTTTGCGCCTGTCCCAAGTCAGGAGCCTCTGGCCTTTGTTAGTCTTGTATCATTTTTAATTTTAGTTTCCTGTGTATAATTTGGAGTTTAGTATGACGTCCATTATCACTGAACTAGTATACATATTTGTTTAGGGGCCAGCTGAAGGACGCCTCCGGGTGCGGGAGTTTCTCGCTGCGTTGAAGACCCATTGGTGGCCTTCGGCTGTTGTCTGCTCTATGGTCGGGTTGTTGTCTCTTTGACACATTCCCCATTTCCATTCTCAATGTTATCTTGTTCGTGCAGACAGACATTAAAAATTGTTCGCAACACAAACTCATCTTAATATTCATAAACACTACTATGACATTCAAATGATCCGAACATGAATCAATATGCACACAACAAACAAACTGAGTGATTGTTGCTCAGTATAAAGTTTTCTATGTTGTGTTTTGTAGACTGTTGTTAAGTCTTTTTGTCGTTTTTTATTTTGTTTTTACCAGGACATTGTCAGTTTGTTTCCGCATCATGAGTTTGATTATCCCGTTGTTTTCTTCCGCCTATCTTGTATATATTCCTCTAAAATCCTTTGAGTTTGAAGAAGGGTTATAATAAGTAAAACATTCAGTCACCCTGCTGTATTTGTTCACATTGATATATAGTTTCAGCTTTGAATTCAGTTCAGCAGTTGTTACAATAAGGACCGATAATTTCAGTGGTCTTGTTTAATTAATTTATGTTTTTCTAGTATTGCATGATATTGTTACCTCAAATTCATTTACCTGTCTCAATTTTTCAAGCAGACTGAGACTGACCTGCAAGAAACGATCCCACAAATAAGTTCAAATTAACTTTGATCACAAAGATGGGGAGAAAGTTATGATTCAATCATGTAAAACATGTAAAATGAGGAAGGAGATTTCAAGAGTCCATTAAAACTGTGTATCATACTGACCTGTTATAAAAGTTCCTCATTTTCTTTTAATCAATGTATATTTGACAAAATGTAAAATTGGTAACATACTATTTTTTGAATAGTTCACTCATGTCAACAAAAATATAGTATTTTGATTATTTGAATAGAACAGAAATCCACTGGTAAATAGCAGAGTCGAACTGTTTTTTCAAATGATTTTTTGTTGTTATTGAGTGTCATTTTAAGATTGAGCAGCGGTTGTGACCTATGTAATGTTCTGTACTGTGAGTTACTCATGAATGATTTCTATGCTCTATGGAACATCATTCTTGTCGATATACAATGTTCTGTATTGTACGTTACGCATAAATGATTTCTATGTTCTACGGAACATCATTCTTGTCGACTTAAGAGAGTAGCGATGTCCTCTCCATTGCTTCCAATTAACACCATCAGCAAATGACGCATGCGTTCCGCTCAAATACTGACCATTCAGGTTGCTATTGTGACAAGCATTGTACCACCATGCTCCTTTATAGTCCTTTGAACATGTCATTTTGTTTTTATCTTTAGTTGAAAACATCTGTCCATTATGATGCGCAAGCGCATCTCCTGTAAATTATATTGATTAAAGATAAGAGGACCCGCAATGTTATAGCAAAAAATGGCAATCAATAAGTTTATTATGAACAATGTGTAAATGTCATCAAAGATAGCAGAATTACAATTTAAAACACCAGACACGCGTTTAGTGAAAATAAGACTCATTAGTTGCGCTAGAATCAAAAGCTAATTTATTAACGCTAATATTGCAAACCATCATGCAAAGTTTACTTTAGACATTTTGTCAATTCTATTTAGTTCCTTTTTTCTATTAAGGTCTACAATGAACGAAATGTTTGTTTTAACAATTTGCAGTTCATAACATCATGTGCATCTATTAAATATAGAATTAAAACATAGACGGTTTTTATGGTTAAGTAAAGAATCTCTCTTCGTTTTAAGAATTAAATTGTCTCGTAATTTTGGCTTTCCCAAATTTTGTCCTCGAGCGTATCTGGTGAAGTTCATTCCAAAATCATGTGTTGTGAATCAAGACGTGGTGTACATGAGGTAATTTACTGTATATTCCAGAAACCCTTGCTGTACATATTTACAATATTTAGTAAAAGTATCAACTTTAGTGTATGAGGCTTTGAAACTGGTTAAGATCGAGATTAACCGTTTGGTGGTGAATACTAAAAAGTTTATATTTTTACCTTGATCTTATATTGTTTTTATACTGCAGCTAAACATAGCTACAAATATATTCGTCAATTTATTTTCAATCATTGAACGAACCCAAGATTGTGAAGAAAAGTGACATGATTTCAACATTGCACGAAAAATCCATTTGTTTCTATATTTAGACACCAGAAGTGTTATATCTGCCTTATGAAATGTATCCAGAAAAACGTGTTTTAGGCACGGTTATTTACTGTATGTTTTAGAAACGTGTGTTGAACACACGGTTATCACTGTATATTCTAGAAACACGTGTTGTACACTGGCTATTTACTGTATATTCAAAAATCAAGTGTTGCACACACAGTTATTCACTGCGTATTCCAGAAACACGTATTGTACACACGGTTATTCACTGTGTACTCAAAAACACGTGTTGTGCAAATGGTCATTCAATGTGTAGACCAAATACACGTGTTGTACACACGCTTATTCACTGTGTATTCCAGAAACACGTGTCGTATACACGGTCATTTACTGTGTTTTCCAGAAACACAAGTTGTAAAAACGGTAATCATAATTCATTTTTATAAAATTACGAAACATGTAAGCTTGTGTTGTTACCTTACAGTGACATTCAGTTGAAGAATGTCAATAAAAATACTCTTTGTATTTTTCAAGTTCTTTTACGGGTCTTCTGTCATTAATTGACTCTAATTGATTCCTAAATTCTTTCCTATCCGTTATGCTTTTTCAATAAATTCTACATTTTGTAAACTAATATAATAGTACTTGATAATTAAGTAGCTGATGTCGTAACATACATATTACCATCTATGCCGTTAAGTGTATATGTACAGTGCTATCGGCTAATGTGACGTACTTAAGAGTTATTGAGTGTGATGATAGAATCACTAGACTATTAAAGTTTGTTTCGTGTTTAAATTGCTGTCTTCCAAATTGTATGTACATTTTCATAATAAGTATTCCAAAATTCAAACAACATATACTGAAAAGTGACATATCCCACTGTTTAATGCAATGTCAGATAAAAGGTTAAATTGACGCACCTGTTGGATATACTTATTGTTCCGGAATCTACTAACATAAACTTGGCCGACTTAAGAAAGGGCATATTAATAAATTAAATATCAAGCCGATAACTCAATAGACAACCTTGAAAATCCCACAGCTACTGTAGCATTTTTGACAAAACCGATCATCAAGTCACAGACACCATTAGACTCACCAAAACACTAGCACTGAATATTAAGACCGGATGTCAATAGTTAAAAAAAGACGCTAATGTTTCAACTGTTTGAGACATCATAACTTGGTTGATTGTAAGTCGAACAAAACAATTAGAAAATGTCAGAAGCGTCATCACACGAGTTTATGTTAAGCAAATACACAAATAACTAGTAAAGACAGTGTAAACGTAAGTACCATACAACACAACGCTCTCGCCGCACCGTTCAAAAATTACATCCATACGGTAGCAAAATTACCGTATTTATAAGGAATAAAATTCGCTTATCCAATTACTCAGTCTCAGTATTCGCGATCATAGGAGCCGACAAAAACCAGCAAACATCTATGATGAATTTAATGATCTTGAGGGAGACAGAAGAATGCTACCTGGGGAAGTTTTGGAAGATAAAATCACTTGTTAATAAACAAATTGACGAGAAGACAACGGGAAACAAAGAAGTTCAAGATTAATATCCGAAGACATGTATAAGTAACCTTGACAACAAATATTTAGCTTCTTTACCCTGGAAAGAAAATCGCCCACCTTTACCTGCTAACAAAGAGTTTACACATCACACAACAGAAAACGTAATTAAACGACTGAAGAAGGAACCGCATTTATTACAGAAATAGGGAGAAATAATAGGTGAATTAAAAAGAAGAGGGTTTATAGAGAAGATTAGTGAAGAAATAATAACACGTAACATAGTGCACTAAATATCGCATCATGCCGTGAAAACAGAATCGTCATTTACAACTGTTTTGATAGGTTTTAACTGCAGCTATAAAGCAAGACCAGAAACGCCTTGTTTAAACGACTGTTTAATTGACAAACCGCTAGATCTTAACGATTTAATAGGAATTCTGTTTATTTTCGACAAATCAATTTGCAGTTTCAACATATATTGTAAAAGCGTTTTTGAATGTTGGATTAGATGAGAGAGTCCGTGATGTAACGAGATTTTTTTGGTTTTTCCTATCCTACAGACTCTTCAAGTCCACTTTCAGTTTACCGATTCACATTCGTTATATTTAGAGCTACCTGTTCCAGATTTATATTAAAGCAAGTTGTTTAAAAGCACCTGAGTAAAAATGCATGTAAATTGATTGATGCTATACGGAAGGCACTTATGATGACAAGTTTCAAGTTTTCCAACAAAGAGACAATTATTATTAGTACTTTGACCCATATCGTACCTTATTTGCAAAAGCGGAATTCAATTTACACTCTTGGGCATCAAACACGAAGACTTTATGAGATCGTGCAACGTTAGAAGATGTTCTTGATAACGAAAAACTTTTAAAACTATTAAATATTCAAATTCAAAACCAAAGTGCGCCGGGTACAGGGTCAGGCAACAAGAGAATTACACAAATCTGATGACAGAAAGAAGTAGTTACATGTGTGGGAGGGAAGAATATAACCAAGAAACAAGACCTCTGAACATCCCCACATAAACTACTATACAACTTACTGAATTTCTAGACGCAAGCATGCCAGATTTTTTCTGATCTGTTGAGGGAAGAGCCCCGCACGTCGTCGCCAATGAAACCGCTGTTAAATGAGGAACCACCGTCTATGGATGTTATTCCATCAGATCAGCTTTTTGCAAAATACCTCTCACCTGTCAATTCACCTGATACCTCTACAGTGACATTGAACCAACAGATTTTACCTCATGTTTAACCAACTTTCAGGAACCAGCAGAACCATCATCTTTAAATTTTAACACACGTATAACCAACATTCAGGACATAAAAATTTAAACACAAATATATCCAAAATTCAGGACATTAAAATTGTTAACTTAAATGGAATACCCACCAAGAAATGCTTACTTTTGCAAAACAGGATTACCTGGAAATGGAGGATACTTTGATTACAAAGCATGAAATTCTAAGACAATCTTCATTTAGGAATTATTAGTCCGATAACAGTATGGAGTACACTTCCATTTATTCCAAAAGACATTTATTCTAGGTTTCACTGATTTACTATCAGGAAGTCGTTATCAAAAATCATGATTTCAGATAATGCCGCAACCTATGTAGCTTAGGCACAGAAATGAGAATGTTGTACAAAGTCACTGTCATTAGATGGACAATATACTTCGTGTAGAACATAATGGAAGTTTATTCCGAAACGTGCACCATGATACGGCGTTTGGCTAGAAAGAAAAATAGGTTTCACTAAAAACTGTATTAAAAAGTTCTACGAAAGGCATTTGTAAGTGTATGTGTACTTGAAACTATTGTCATAGAGGTTGAAGCTATAGTTAACGATCGCAAATTGACTAATTAGTCATCAGATCCAGTGGATAATTAACCATTGGCAAGTCTCTTATTTACTTTATGGTAGGAGAATTACGACTTTACCATACGCAGAAACTCTAGATTACAACATTGAGGATTAACAAAACTTAACACACTCATTAGCAAATTTACTATTACAGAATCAAAGTCGAACCATTCAAAGGTTTTGGACAAGATGGAAACGTGAATACCTCACACCACTTAAAGAACACAATCAAAACAATGGAGTAGACAAACAGAACATTAATATTGCTGAGGTCGTACTGTAGCATGATGAAAGTTCAAGAACAACAATTTAAATGTAGGGATAATCGACGAATTGATTCAGGACGAGATGGATTTAACAGATTAGTTTTTTACAGACTAAAAATGGTATAATGTCTAGACCTATTAGCAAGTTATATCCATTAGAACTGACATCTCATGAATACACAGGACCGTGTGATGAAATATTGTCCGCAAGACGATTTAATACCGAAACAAAAGAAAAGATAAAAATGTGGACCAAAGGAGACCGTCGGATGTGCTTACTGTAAACCATTTATCAAAATTTTATGGACCGTTAACTGTTTAATGATTTAAATCGCGTTTATTATAGACTGCGAAATATTTACTTTATTCGCGTGCATTATGAAAGACAGTTAAAAATATTCAATGTTTTGTATTTATCAGAAACAGTGATTTCAAAGTGAAACTTTTTTAATTCATTTTCATTTTAATTCGTTTGTGCGCCCCTAGAATTGTCCGGATTGCACATACTGGTATGAAATGTTCGCGCTACCGCTTTTAATGTATACGACGTCACCGCTGTTGTGAAGTTAACTACTTCTGAGTTCCAATACAAGTTTTGGAAGTAGACGTCTTTCTTACTTATCATTAAATTGTGTCCAACACAATCCACTCTACGATACCAATGTTCTGGAAAAGCTACATCTACAAAAATTATAACAACTATTGACAATGTGTTTTTAATACCTGCATCTCCTGTATAGTCACTGTATTGCAGCTTGAATCCAGAACTTTCATCGCTTATGGAGAAATGGGTGTATTCAGCGTAACGATGATCTCCGTCAAAATCCTCTAATTCGATTCTGAGAGTAAAGGTGCCTTGGTTTGTTAATAGATGTAAGTATGTATTACCTGAAAATAAATGGATTAGAATTATAGTGTTACAATCAAGCTTGTAAATCCCATAGGTAATGTAAACCCTACGATTTTTTTTATTTTGTTTGCCATTTCAAATGAAAGCTCTCAAATATTGTGTATTTTTGGCTTACCAAATTTTGGTCTCCGATATACTTGATTAAGGTTATTTTATATCCCCTGTTGTGACATGCCTAGCAAAATCATAGTTTGGGTGGAAGCCACTGTTAGTGGACTGCCAGTCCCCGGTTTTACCTCTGCCCATGGGCCTGTAGTCAACGCTTCGGTAATTGCATAATTCAAATGGTTTGTTTTGCCGGTATGATGACCTTAGAAGGTTTCGGCTGTTTTGTTTAGTGGGTACTTGACGTCATGATCTCTAACTATAGTTTTCCATTCGACCAATACTATTGGTACGATAAAGGTTATGAAGGTTTTGAAATGTACATATTAAACAAGTTATAAAGTACAGTCAAATCTGCTCTAAATGTCTCCTCTTATAACCGAAATCCTGTCTTCTTTTCCTGCTATACCTAATACATTGTAAACCTTAAATGTACTATCATCTCTCTTGTAAGGTCAGTTTATTTGCTCCCAGGAAGACCTTTACTGGCAGGTTCGACTGTAATGTGCAAATTCTAATTTGGAGTTTTGATTGCAATTTTCGGGCCTTTGAAATTTAATGTTTCAATAGGCAATTCATCTAACCAAAAATGATAAGCGGTCAATCTTAATAAAATATCGTCTGACGAGCTGTGCTACGCTATTAAGATTTGTAATCAGATGCTTAACTTTTCCTTCACAAAGTGTTTTTGTTCATATTGCAAGATCGTTTTCAAGAAACATTAAAAGTTATTAGGCATTAGTACTTAAAAAATTGACATATTTCACTAGCTAGTAAGATGAATAAACTGGTCCCCTGTCCTTTATCTGTTTGGCTCTGACAGCAATGGTTACTCAAATACCCGTGGGTTTTAAGGGAGACTACCAGCCTATTAAAATGAATTAAACGTGTACACGGGTATTTGATTTGCATGTTATTGACAAATATTAAACACAATCTATCACCTGATATGTACAATGGGTATAAATCTGTTAAACAAAATATACGGCTCCCCAGTTTTTGGAACCGTTCCTGTCGACAGAACTTAAATAAAAAGATCTATTCTGCATCTTATAGACCACGAGAAGGAATATGATTTCTTGTACATGTATAGTACATTTTTTCTTAACTACAGAACAATCTAGAAATGTTCGTTTTCCTATTTTGTTATCGTCGATTGTACTCAAGACTAAACCTCTGACCAGGTATGCCATACATTCGTTTTACTTGTGTAATGTATTTTCTTTGCTAATACAAATTGTAACTCAAATACGTAGACATACAGCCTACCTAGCCAGAATTCGTCACTCATATTTCCAAATCCTAGTTTGTAAGAATTCCAATCCCTGTAAAAATCAACATTGCCGTTCAGTCTTCTCTGGAATACCTACAATATTAAGATAAAGTTTGATGGTCACGTAACATGGTTTTTGCAAAAACTTATCATATAACCGAAACAGACATAAACGATTTTCTGAGCACTCGTAGAGACGTGTTTTTGAGCACACGACGACACGTGTATCTGAGCACACGACACGTGTTTTTGAGCACACGACACGTGTTTCTGAGCACACGACGACACATGTTTCTAAGCACACGACGACACTTGTTTCTGAGCCAATCGTTACCAAAGTAAGTAACCAATTAGCGAACCGTCAAAAACATTAGCTACATGTATCTCCGAAAAAATAATCTCAATAGATGTGGATTGATTACAGAAATGGGTACTTTCATGTTATTTTGGTCGTTACCATTATTCTGATAGTCAGTCGTTAAACTCCAAATGTGAAACCCACTTAGAAGTTAATGCTTGGCATTTGTCAGATTTGTTTTCTTGTTGTTTTTTTTTTATTTTTAAACGCACATAAAAACCTTATGTAATTTCTACAGATACAATGGTTTAAATGCTACAATGAGATTAACTCGAATGAGTCAGCGCCCTTTCCAAATGTAGCGATCGTTAGTAAATCGGAATATAACGAATGGATGTGTCGGGATACCATAATATGTGTTTTGCTTTGTAATTGAAATTTGTGTTATGTCACTTTTAATCTAAACACTTCATTACTGAACGCTTGCACCCATGCGTACAGATTTGCATATTCAGTCAGTACGTGATTATTCAATAAGTGTTTGATATTCGATATTTCTTTTTACATATTTACTTTTTGTTCTTCCGATATTTTAACATTACAAAATAAGACAATAGGTGTCAAATAAAGTCTAAAAGCATTAATAATTTGTATCAAGTTGAGACCACGTGTATACATATGACTTCAACATATCATATTGTTACCAATTAAGAGATATTTTCTCATCGTTAAATCAATTTAATTACTAGTATAATGAAAGCAGTTTTGTCAATATATACATTGTATAGTGTCATTACCTCCCAGTCGGGATGATTTCATGGAAGACTGAATACTTTAAAATTGTCGTAGTAAATATAAAAAATATTTTATTGTGTAAATGGTATTCGCATAAAAATATAAATTGCATAACAAATAAATGGACAACTTTAATTACGGACGGAAAATACCACATTTAAAGATAAAAAAAAGCAGATAAACACAATCAAGGTATTGAAATTGTCATTATCCAATGAGAAATTATAACCAAATTTGCAAGTTTTTTAGTTCACTGCCATCGTTGTCTTTGATTAATCATTTATATAAAAATAAACTGTTGACACAGAAATATGTCTCGCCTTTCGGCATAAAAATAAAACAAAAAACGACAATCTGAAGGACACCAACATTGCTAATTAATTCAGTCACTGGACCATAATATAGATGTACAGACAGTAATGAAACTTTATAGAAAATATCGTTTTTTATTTCTAGTAGTTCCTATCAATATAACGTAAGCAGAAAAACTAAACATTGAAAATTGCTAATTATTTCAAAGTTGCTGGACCATGTCCTAGGGGGCAGGGCCTAAAATAGCCGTCAAAATGTACTGATAGTAATGCAAATTATACATAATATCGTTTATCTATCACAAGTAGTTCTTAAGAGGCAAGGTCCGAAATAGTTATCGAGCTGATATGAACTGATAGTAATTCGACTTCATCCAAAATATCATTGATCTATCACAAGTAGATCCTTTCAAACAGACTCAAGCAGCAAAACTTAACATTGATTATTGATAATTAATGCAAAGTCACTGGACCAGCCCTAGGGGGCAGGGCCTCGAAGTAGTCATCAAACTGATATCAACTGATAGTAATGCGACTTCATACAAAATATCATTGATCTATCACAAGTAGATCCTATCAATATATCTTAAGCCGAAAATTTATCATTGAACATTGCGTATTAATTCATAGTCACTTGGCCATGTTCTAGGGGACAAGGCCTCAAAATAGTCGTCAAATAGATATGTACTGTTAGTAATGCAACTTTGTACTAAATGTCAATGATTTATCACAAGTAGTTCCTAGCAGACTAACTTAAGCAGAAAACTTAACAATTGTTGACGACGTCGCCGGAGCCGTCACCTGAAAAGCAATCCCTATATATGGCTTTCCGCGAATTTCGACGCAGGCGAAACAATAATGAGATGTGGTATGATGTCTATTAAAAAGGCACTTGTCGCTGAGACAAAACTCAATATACCTTTACAAGTTAATCAACGATAATTAACAATGTATATTTGTTAGAGACAAGTGCGTGTGCTCAATTTTCATAATTTTCAGAATTTTTACGTCAAATTAAGGGCTTTTGAATATGATTCAAAATACATAAAAAGGTGGTGGTTTAGAATATGCCCCAATCTGAAGTCGTCGTATCTTTTTAAAGAAAGTTTTTGTTATCGAGAATTTCACTTCTATGTAGTCAAAATTATTGTCAGATCACGCATACTGCACTAACGAAGTCAAAATAATTGTCAGATCAGGGATAACGCACTAACGAAGTCACACGTATTGTTAAAGCGCTCATACTGCACTTACGAAGTCAAAATAATTGTCAGATCAAGGATGCTGCACTAACGAAGACAAAAATTATTGTCACATCAGGGATTATGCACTTACGATTACACATATTGTTAAAGCACTCATACTGCACTTACGAAGTCAAAATTATTGTCAGATCAGCGAAAATGCACTTATGATGTCACAATTATTGTCAGGTCACAGATAATGCACTTACGAAGTCACACGTATTGTCAGATCACACATACTGCACTAACGAAGTCAAAATTATTGTCAGATAAGGGAAAACGCACTTATGAAGTCACAATTATTGTCGGATCACGCATTTTGCACTTACAAAGTCAAAAGTATCGGTAGATCAGGAATATAGCAATTATGAAGTCACAACTATTGTCAGATCACGGAAAATGCACTGATGAAGTAACAGGTGTTGTCAGATAACGGATAATGCAATTACGAAGTACCAATTACCGGATAATACACTTACTTCCCGGGCTTGTTTTGCCTATCATGATTTCCTTGATAGAGGGTTGCTCCTCACAAGGAAGCTATTAAACAAAAAGTTCCAAATGGTGAAGTTGAAATCATCCCTTCGTAAATTTTACGGACGCCATCACGAGTTGGTTAACCGTTATAGAATAACCGTTTCACAGATAATATCGGATATGTTCCTTATGTCGTAATTACAATCCACTTCCTTTTTCACCATGAATGGGACCTACCGAATTAGACCATTTACCGAATTTGTTATAACATGAGCAACACGACGGGTGCCACATGTGGAGAAGGATCTGCTTACCCTTCCGGAGCACCTGAGATCATCCATAGTTGTTGGTGGGGTTCGTGTTGCTTAGTCTTTAGTTTTCTATGTTGTGTCTTGTGTACTATTATTTGTCTGTTTGTCTTTTTATTTTTTGGCCGTGGCGTTGTCTGTTTGTTTTCGATCTGTGAGTTTGACTGTCCCTCTGGTCTTTTTCGCCTCTCTTTTTATGAAGACACATTTAATGTCAGATCACGCATACTACACCTACGAAGTTAAAATTATTGTCAGATCACGGAAAATTCACTAACGAAGTCTCTAGTATCGTCAGCTCACGCACAATGCACTTATGAAGTCACAATTATTGTCAGATCATGGATAACGCACTTACGAATGAACAATTAGTGTCAGAACACAGATAATGTAATTAAAAAGTCACAATTATTGTCAGATGATGGATAACGCACTTATGAAGTCACAATTATTATCAGGTTACGGATAAAACACTTACCAAGTCAAAATCATTGTTAGATGCCGCGTTATACATCGTAATCATTTCACTCCCTTTTTAAGGCAATGATACAGTAAGTCGTACCTAGGACTTTTTTCCATAATTGTGAAAAATCTTTAAATTTTGGAAAAAAAACTTTAGATTTGAAAATGGACTATATAGGACATTTGACCACTAACTAAGAATACTTACTGTCCAGCCGCCTCCATTATCATTTACTTCACAGAGTACATTAAATGTACTGTTCATATTGATTTGGTATATACCCGTTTTGCAGATTGGGCTTTTGAGATCTGAACAGTCCATCTTAACATCACATACATTTACTAAAAGAAATAGATGTGTTCAAAGCTAGTTCGTTATCTTAGGAATGTTATACATGGAGGCCTTGCTGATTAGTCAAAACAGAGTGTCAAAAATTATAACGCCAGGGAAATTTCTAATAATGTATCATCGTAAGTAATTCCGCGTGTGAAAATCTAAAGGAATAATGTATTTGTTCTTACAACCATATGAAAAGTATGTTACGTGGTTGGCTGGATACGACAAATATGACAGAATATAGAGCACCATCAAATAATGCAGAGTATACTTATTGAACACATACAAGTACTGATTGATACTATTTGATCTTAATTTCCATTTCTCCTTTAAATAGCAACATATTTTCTTTATAAAGCTTTTTGACTCAGCTTGTAACATGAGCTTCCTTTTATTTGGACGTGATCAAACATATTTTTATCAAAAAGCTACTTCAAAGTGTTCTATATGCAAGGCAAATCAACACAAAATAATAAATTATTTTAATTGTGTTAATTAAAGACGAAAGTGCTCTAGGTCCTTGTTGTGCCATTTGTTTTTTTTTTACTCTGAACAAACTTTCTATTAAAAGCATTCAAACATATACATATAAAAGTAAACGATTTCAATTTCATGACCTTCGAAATAAAAGTGACCAATTACGGACTTTCAACAATTTCGAAAGACACCAGTTTTTGGTTTGACCGTATTTACCGTTATATTTCCCCTCCTGCAGTAAGGAGGGTTATCTAACAATATTTGAAATTCATCCGGGGATTTTTCCATCAGAATGGTATCGTCAGCAAATAATATCAAATATATGAGACAACCATTAAGCTCATGAATGTTTCATATTATTTTCCTTGTTGTATTTGCTCGTATCCCTATAACCTATAAATGTATGTTATGTCCTTCTTGTGAAGAGATTAAAGTTGAGGGGAAGCACGTGTATATTACGGTCATCATAAAATTGTATGGATAAGAGCGATAACAGATAACAGAACTAATTGAAAACAAGTTGAAGTAATAAAGAAAATTTAATGATGAATACTTAAATACACACACACACATACACAATTGATAACACAACTAAAAACGAGATCCATCCTTCTAGCGCCTGTATACTGGAGTCAAGCTTTCTTCACTAACCTAATCAGTCACACAAAAGGGCTTACAACGAAAGAATTTAAGAATAATTTAACTTACTGTCACAGTGAGGACCAGTCCATTCATCCGGACACGTACATAAATAGCTGTTCACCTGGTTACGACAAATGCCTTCGTTTGCACAAGGCTGCTCATCGCATGGTGCTCCTGTTTGTGGATAACATCGGTATTATTATTTAAACTTTAAAATTTTAATTTTAATGATTAGAATTACTATACAATTCGTTTTGATTTATTGGGAAAACTTCTATCAACATTTCTGTACAAATGACCAGGGATCTGAATAATCAGTAATTTAAAGAAAAACCCGTTCTCATTTCATTTTATTTTATCTCGTTTATGGCAATCACTAAATACGACATACCAACAGATTGTTACTTGCATTTAGTAACTCTAACGTTTCGGAACCCCGGATATATCCCGATTTGGGCGGGTTTTTGTTCTTTGTCACATTCATATTTACAAGAAGAGTAAAGTATCAAACATTCAAGTTGATTTCAAAGTCGTTCATACAAATACAAGTTTACATAAGGCTAGCTCTGTACAGCTTTCAACTGGTTTATCTTTTGTTTTGTGACCATTGACGAATAAAAACGTTGATTAAAATATGCATATACTGCATGAAATATAATTTGGTACATGTATGTAGCAGTTTTGTATGTCAGAAATTAGTCCAACTGATTCTGTACGTTGTTTAAAAATTTGTCACTTCTTACAATATTTAGTCATATTGATTATAGTGTCATAATACTGCTAAAAACGTTTCTTCTTCGGAATAAGAAATAACAGTTTCGAATAAAACTTTATACAAATAAGGTGTGTTGTGTGATTTTTAATGACACAACAAACAACCAAAGGTAGAAGTTGTAGTGACAATATTATACGGTCTCTAGTGGAGAGTTGTCTCTCCGGAAATTATACCACATCTTCCTATTTTCATATTTGGATATGGGTTTAAAAGGCCGATGATGAAAAAATTCAAAAAACACAAAATTAAGAACTAACAGCCTGATTTAAACTAATGAAAATACACGAAAAACAATTAAAACAAACGTCCTCCCACTACGACCACTGTGCTGGCGGTTCATTTTTGGCTTAGGAAAGACACATAAAGAATGCGGTGGGTTATACATATGTCTTTGAGCGCTCAACCTTCCCTAACGGGGACAATGGTGTAACAGCAATGACTGATTTATTAGCGTACGTTACTCTTGATTTATATCAGTACAGTATCTTTGAAAAGAGGCAGCAGAGACCAAAAGGACAATCAGAAATCATTAGTCGAAGTAGAATCGAAAATACCAAGGCAAAAAAAAAAAAAAAAAACGCAAACAAGTCTAGAAAACATTACAATTGTGATGTATGCATTTTAGCAATAATATCAGTTTGATTATTTGTTTATGATGGGAAGCCGTACACTAGTACAAATGGTAACACAAGAATCAGTCATAACACTTTAAATTATGTTTGAAATGGATTAGTTTATATATTATTTTCAAATAAACTACGTTCAATAATTTTCTAATTGCGTATTCTCAACGTTAATAAGCTAACATCACTATATTGATTTATTCGGCAATGAAAGTATGTATTGAGCTGTTAGTCAAATCAAGCACTGAAACATTAAATTTAAAACATGAATGGATTACAGGTTGAATAAGTTACTTTTGACTTGCTTCAGGAAATTTTGTTTTTTTTAATTTTTTACACTGGTAGCGATTTAGATCTTGATATATTGTTTAAAGTGTTTGCTGAAAAAAATAGTCAGAGAGTCAAATTCGGATTAACTGATCCTTTTGAGGGAATGAATACTTGTCCAGCTTAGTTTGAGTAAAATATAATATACAAATTAGAAATTCAGGTACTGTATTGCATTTCAATAACTTCATTTCAGTTTTTTTAAACATCTTTATAAATGTAAATCGTAAAATCGTTAATACCCTTTGCTCTTCATTGAGCAATGACATTTTATGTCCTCGAGGGAACAGCAGAAATCTCTAATATTGTAATTGCTGTGATAAAACATTGTCTTCAGCAAACTATCTAAAGACACCTGTAAATTGTTGAAGATGGAGTGTTTTTTTGTTGTTGTTCTTTGGTTGTCAATGACATGACCCACACATTTTTTTTTTATTTCTTGCAACCACAAAGTCATCAGCTAACACCATTACCTCAACATAATCAATGAAGGATATTTTCTTATACAAACCAGAAATACACCATCGATGAACAAATGAGTTTTTAAATTTAGGATTAAAAACAAGTGACAGTTTATCATATTTGAATTGTAGAAGTGAACATTTCAACCACGAGAATGAATATAGGGTGCATGTGAGCAGGATAAAATAAAATGTATTTGGAGGAAACAATATCTATCAATGAAAAATCGCTTTTTTCTGCTATTGACTATTTATTTAGTGCTAATTTCTATTAGCAAACATGGTAAGGTCAATCGATCTATCTACTGTTGAAGGTTGTTGGTTGTTCAATTAGAAACTACATTCTTTAGGCGAATCTACGTTTTTAAAAGGGATGTGTCTCATCTTAAGTATTTTGTTTGATGTTTTGTAAACTTTTTGTTTGCCTTATCTTTTTTTCTTTTGCTCTTTTCTGTCCTTCTTCGACATGTGACTTTTATTGTCCCTTTGGTTACCACTGAATTTGACAGTTCCTTTGGTGTTCTCTGACTTTAACTGTCCCTTTGGTTTCCTCTGACTTTTACTGTCCTTTTGGTTTACTCTGACTTTTACTGTCCCTTTGTTTTCCTCTGACTTTTACTGTCCCTTTGGTTTCCTCTGACTTTTACTGTCCCTTTGGTTACCTCTGAATTTGACAGTTCATTTGGTGTTCTCTGACTTTTACTGTCCCTCTGGTTTCCTTTGACATTGACTCTCCCTTTGGTTTCCACTGACTTGACTTTCCCATGGGTTACATCGGACTATTACTGTCCCTTTGGTTTTCTCTGACCTTATTATCCCTTAGGTTTCCTCTGACTTGACTCTCCCATTGGTTACATCGGACTATTACTGTCCCTTTGGTTTTCTCTGACCTTATTATCCCTTTGGTTTCCTCTGACTTGACTCTCCTATGGTTTACATCTGACTATTACTGTTTCTTTGGTTTCCTCTGACTGTAACTTTCACTTTGGTTTTCTCTTACTTGACAGTTTATTTGGTGTTCTCTGACTTTTACTGTCCTTCTGGTTTCCTCTGACTTTTACTGTCCCTTTGGTTTCCTCTGACCTTTACTGTCCCTTTGGTTTCCTCTGACTTGTACTGTCCCTTTGGTTACCTCTGAATTTGACAGTTCCTTTGGTGTTTTCTGATTTTTACTGTCCCTTTGGTTTCCTCTGACTTTTACTGTCCCTTTGGTTTACTCTGACTTTTACTGTCCCTTTGTTTTCCTCTGCCTTTTACTGTCCCTTTGGTTTCCTCTGACTTTTACTGTCCCTTTGGTAACCTCTGAATTTGACAGTTCCTTTGGTGTTCTCTGACTTTTACTGTCCCTCTGGTTTCCTCTGACTTTTACTGTCCCTTTGGTTTCCTCTGACCTTTACTGTCCCTTTGGTTTCCTCTGACCTTTACTGTCCCTTTGAATACCTCTGAATTTGACAGTTCTTTTGGTGTTCTCTGACTTTTACTGTCCCTTTCGTTTCCTCTGACTTTTACTGTCCCTTTGGTTTCCTCTGACTTTTATTGTCCATAGGGTTACCTCTGAATTTGACAGTTCCTTGAGTGTTCTCTGACTTTGACTGTCCCTCTGGTTTCCTCTGACTTTTACTGTTCCTTTGGTGTCCTCTGACTTTTACTGTCCCTTTGGTTTCCTCCGACTTTTACTGTCCCTTTGGTTACCTCTGAATTTGACAGTTCCTTTGGTGTTCTCTGACTTTTACTGTCCCTTTGGTTTCCTCTGACTTTTACTGTCCCTTTGGTTACCTCTGAATTTGATAGTTCCTTTGGTGTTCTCTGACTTTTACTGTCCCTTTGGTTTCCTCTGACTTTTACTGTTCCTCCGGTTTGATCTGACGTTTACTGTCCCTTTGATTTCCTTCAACTTCATTCTTCCCTTGGTTTCCTCTTACTGTTACTGTTACTGTCCCTTTTTTTTTTCCTCTGACGTTTATCAATGTTTACTGTCCCTTTGGTTTCCTTTTAATTGACATTTCTCTTAGTTTTCTCTGACTTTTACCGTCCCTTTGGATTCTTCTGACTTTTATTGTCCCTTTGGTTTTCTCTGACGTGACTCTCCCTTTGGTTGCCTCTGACCTTTACTGTTCCTTTGGTTTTCTCTGACTGTTATCATCCTTTTGGTTTCCTTTGACATTGACTCTCCCTTTGGGTTCACTGACTTGACTCTCCCATGGGTTACATCGGACTATTACTGTCCCTTTGGTTTTCTCTGACCTTATTATCCCTTAGGTTTCCTCTGACTTGATTCTCCCATTGGTTACATCGGACTATTACTGTCCCTTTGGTTTTCTCTGACCTTATTATCCCTTTGGTTTCCTCTGACTTGACTCTCCTATGGTTTACATCTGACTATTACTGTTTCTTTGGTTTCCTCTGACTGTAACTTTCACTTTGGTTTTCTCTTATTTGACTCTACCTTTGGTTTCGTTTGACTTTTACTGTTTTTTTGGTTTCCTTTTACTTTACTTTCCCTGTGGTACCCTCTTACTTGACCCCCTTTTGGTTTTTTCTATTTTTTTCAGTCCCTTTGTTTTCCTCAAACTTTTACTATTCCTTTTGTTTTCTCTGAATTTTACTGTCCCTGTGTCTTCCTCTGACTTTAACTGTCACCTTTGTTTCATATTATTTATTCATACTGTTAAATAACTATATATAGTTTTAAAGCTGATCGAAAAGAATCATAAAATATATATTATATGATACATGTTTTGACGAACCACAGAGGCATTTCTGCCTTTTAAGAAAATCGAATATTGAATAAACGTTGCACATGTAAAATAACCAGTAAAGATCAAATATAGAGCAAAATCCAGGCTATGTAGTGGGGAAATAACTCTTACTTAGAAAGACAGTTGGTGTTTAATTTCACTTACGAAATGATAGGCAAACGTATCTATTCATATCCAATGGAACACACTTTTCACGCTCCTTACAAGGATTGGTAGGCAAACAACTATCTCCATCCTGAAATTATAATTAAATAAAGAAAATCAGGACTGTTAACGTGTCTAGGAACAAAAGATTTTTTTGTTCTATGATTAACGTCCAGTGCAAAATGATGACAACATATTATAAAAGATTGTACATTCATATACATTGTAGATATATACATAATGATTTTAAAAGAAAATTTGGTTAATCTGAATTATTTCTCAGGCATATGTACTTCGAATTATACAACTATGTGGCGATTACCCAAGAATTTTTAAAAAGTCATTTATTAGTGACTGGGAGCTGTTTGTCATGCTCTTACAGAAATTTTGTCATCAAATCTTTGAAAATCTTAATGTAATTTTCAAGATGAAGACCAACAATACAAGTCCTCTCTCTTTGATACAATTGTTTGTTCAGTATTTCATGAAATTCTCATAGACCCTTTTTAACATAGATTTTCTTTTCCAATATGGACAAAAAATCTAGTAACAAGTAAGCAGTGTCGTGAAATACATTTTCGATGATACTTGATAACGAGCGATCGCGTTGCAAAGTTACTTTTGTCTGTTCTCTATGTATATCAATGTTAGAATATGTGTATATTGATATTAAAATGCATTGCATTTTGCATGGACCATACTTTATCCCGTCTGATAAAATAATAGTTGCTTGCTTGATTTTCAGTGGCAATTTATTCGTGCATATTCAGGACGAGAACATATTACAAATTGATGCAATAGGTAGTTTCTGAAAAGTCGGACGACCGGGATGAAGGGCTGTAAAATTTGGACACCTACTAGAAAATAAAGATATGTTGTATATGAGCAGACATTTGACTTCCACGAGCCACCTATAGACCCTCAGAGAGTTGTTGCATTGGATCTTTGACGTGCATAGAGCGTGCCACGCAATTTCTATTTCTCTCTATAAAGCATATATAATTTAACGTCCCATTACGACCTGACATGTAGCTGCAAACGAATACATCCCGCATAGCTAAGTGTTACTGCAGGAACGGGAGACGTCAAGGAATGATCATATTTTTATACCCCAGTCAACTGCTATGGAATAAAGAATGAGATATAAGTATAAATGCTTTCACATCAATGTTTCGCCGCAATATAGTCTTTGGTGTTGATCCGGCGTAAAACAAACACCAATCAATCAGTCATATAAATGTTCGTCTTAGCTATTCAAATGAACAGCAGATTAAACAAAGTAGGCGCCAGACACTGTAATCTTCCTATTACTGTTGTATTGATTTTCCTTTACTACTACAACACGACAACAACATCCATCAACTACTACTAGATGTTCTTCTTCTACTTCTATTACTACAACTGCTTAATAATTAAAACAAAAGTAATAATATTAAGCATAATGTAAACTAAAATCGGAATAAAAATCTTACCAAAGTATAATTGTTTACATCAGCGAATGAAAACCCTTCACTATATTTTAGTTGGTCTCCTGGTAAGGATAAAGACAATAATTGGCAAGTCAGTGTATCTCGTCTGTAATTGACACCACTACAACCTTTATAATGCGTACATTCCCAAATACACATGTTTGGTCCTCTATTTTCAATTGCGAAAATCACATGTGTGTCCATCTGTTTGTTATTCTGAAATAAAACTAACACGAATTGCATATTAAATGTTAGTGTCACGTAAGAAATTGCAACTAATTTAAGTGTAAACGAAGTGAACATCCTTCTTCGTTTTGTTTGCAAATTATTATGAAAACCGTTATTGAAAAATTTCATCAATACTCTTTTTGGTTAATTATTGATACGGATAAAGTAATAAAGTACTACACTCGTACGTCAATGTTAGAAAATTTTCTAATTACCTAATTGTATAGAAACTTTAACCGCAACAATTAGTATTGATTTTGAATGGCATCACTATAGTTTGCATCCGCAATGATGAACATTCTGTTTGAGACTTCATAAATACATATTTATATTAATCTATGATCATAAAAAAAATTAAAAATTTTTAATTGATGTTTATATAAGTGTTTTATTTTCTGTCCGACTCGACTTCTGGCAAAGTCATTTATTTATGTGGACGATACTCATTTTATTACTAGATGTATGGAGTCTGTGGTAGAGCCGGCAATGTTTTCTTATCTGTCTCATGAACTTTGGTGCACGCGTTTATTTTCAATCTTTGTTATGCTTATTTCAGTCAGTTGAATTAAGTTTGTAGCAGTAGCAAAGCAAAATTCTAATCATTTTATTCTTTAACAAGATACAAATCTTAATAAGGCACAACATCTTTAAATTTTGGGGTTACTCAATATACAACTTGGGTAAATATGAGATCGTTTCCAAAATTTTATGAGTAGTTAGAGTGCCTACGTTCCTTACGAGGAATAGTCTCATTTTGATTGCTCAACAGCTCTATTTCACGTCGGTCTATGCCCACAAAGATTTACTCTTATGCGGTACTACGTGGACAATCAAGTAAGGCTATACCGATCGGGAACTGCTTGCTAAAGTACTACGGGACAAGTAGACTGGTAGTCGTACACACATGTGTATGCAAATACCCCTATGGTGACGCATTTCTGTCAAAGATATGTGACTAGCTCAGGCACAGTATTTTAGCGGCAAGTTATCCTTAATTAACTGAGAACACACTATCATTTTATGTACATGTTGGCGTCAGTTCGTTTACATTCATCGGTTTTTATTCAAATCTTGAAATACTTCCTGCTGGACGTTAACAGGCTTTATATCAACAATACCTACTTTTGAAATTATTGTATAGTGTCTGTAATCGTTGTCATAAGAACTGTCATCAATATCTATCAATTATCTGCGGTCAAGGTTCATCTATAATTCATTTGTATACGTCTAATCGATGGTCACGCCAGTAATTCTTTTATCAATTGGTCTAAGGTCAACGCACTGAGGTTTGAATAGTAAATTGGCTTTGGTCTCCTATGTCGGTATTTACTTTGATCGTATGCTTGATGTCAATTTTATTATGTATGAAACGTGTTATATAAACATGGTAAATAGCGATCTGATGGCGTAAAATATTGTTTCTGCTTTTTGAAAGCTTAATTGATTTTTTTTCTTTTTTGTATTTAAATTTGACGTGTTTTTTATAAAGTGCCATACAATGCCAAATCATTTTAATTAATTATTACAACACACAAACATAATTATATCTTAATTGAGTTTTATGCGACTGTCATACAAGTGAGAGGTTTATCTAGCTATAAAACCACCATTTTCTATCTGAAATGCCCGTACCAAGTCAGGAATATGACAGTTGATTTTCATTCGTTTGATGTGTTTGAGCTTTTGATTTTGTCATTTGATAAGGAACTTTCCGTTTTAAAGCGCTGATAACAAATTAATAAATTATCAAAATACTGCTTTAGTAACATGTGCAATGTTTAAAAAAATGTTAACTGTAAATCGTGTGTGTTTTAAATGCATGAATGTCGTGTTTGTATGGTGCTTTATATATATTTGTCGATTTTTCTCATCAGAGTCTACCTATGTGTGTGTGTTGTAATATTTCATTAAAGTTTATTGTACTGTATAACGCTGTATAACAAAACTGTCAAATTTAAAGTAACAGAAAGAAATCAAATAACCTTTCAAAAACATGAAACTGGAGAAACTCCATTTATTCCTCTTTGTTATCTTTTTTTAATGATTAAAGATGAATATAAATAGGCATTTATATAGTCGCATAATTCTTATAAGAATGGCGCATTCAAATATTTATCATGTTTGAAACATGATTACTGTATTTTGTTTGTAATGTTTGTTTTATGTATTTAAACTTGAATAAACTATTGAAATATGAAATTTCAACTTTAATTATCAATTATATTTTCATCAGTGCGGAAACAAACTTAATTAGATTCCATTTAAAGGCAATACTTATTGTGGCGTTAAGAGTTACTATACAATTGGCTAATTAGAAATGTCTGACATTGACGAACGACTGTTGTCCTTTATTTATTTATCCGTTTTGAAATTAAACTTTAACAATTATTGAGGAAATTTTTCAGCAAAACTTTTCATAATTATTTGCAAGAAACACGAGGAAAGATGTACACTGTACATACAATTAAACTAGAAACAATACTCACTTAACACTTTCATGTAATATATTAAACGTGTTAGTTTTCTTTCAGAAAATCAAATAGATGACCACGCATGTCATTTTCGCAATTAAAAATAGAAGACCAAACATGTGTATTCGGGAATATACGCATTTATAAGGCTGTAAAGGTGTCAATTACAGACGAGATACCCTGGCCTGTCAATTATTGTCTGTAACCTTAAAGTTGACCTTCGATGGATTTGGGTAATGTTTAGATATTTTTTAGTCATTTAGCTGTTCAACCGTTTCGGTTCTTATACATCCTCGGCTTTCCAATATTCGGCTTTGAGCGTTCTTGATGAAGGTAAATCCAGAAAAGCGCTTCGGACGCATACAATTATTTAACGTGTTGTTTTTATTTCTTACCAGACGACCAGTTGAAGTATAGTGAAGTGTTTTCATCTGCTGATATAAACAATGAGTATTATTACTTGATTTATTATAGTCATAAGCAGTTGTTGTTGTGATAGAACTTGTTGTGATGGAAGTAGTTGTAGAAACAGTTGTTGTTGTGATAGAAGTAGTTGTAGAAACAGTTGTTGTTGTGATAGAAGGAGTTGTAGAAACAGTTGTTGTTGTGATAGAAGTAGTTGTAGAAACAGTTGTTATTGTGATAGAAGTAGTTGTAGAAACAGTTGTTGTTGTGATAAAAGTAGTTGTAGAAACAGTTGTCGTTGTGATAGAAGTAGTTGTAGAAACAGTTGTTGTTGTGATAGAAGTAGTTGTAGAAACAGTTGTTGTAAAAGTTGTTTGTTGTAGAAGTTGTTTGTTGTTGCAGAAGTTGTAAGTACAAACGGTCGATGGTTTTCTCCGAGCATTCCAGCTTCCTCCAGAAATAAAAACTGAACGTCAAGAAATAACACAATAGTGGTGAAACACCAATCAATCAATCAATCAATTAATATAAGTACAACCAATTTTAGTAGAAGTAGTGGTAGTAGTAAGTACTCACAGTTGTTGTAATATTTGTTATAGATGTAGTAACAGTTGTTGTAATAGTACTTGTAGATGTAATAATAATTATTGTAATAGTAGTAGTAGATGTAATAGCAGTTATTTTAATAGTAGTTGTAGATGTAATAACTGTTATTGTAATAGTAGTTGTAGATGTAGTAACACTTATTGTAATAGTAGTTGTAGATGTAGTAACAGTTGTTGTAATAGCACTTGTAGATGTAATAACAGTTACTGTAATAGTAGTTGTAGATGTAGTAATAGTTGTTGTAATAGTAGTTGAAGACGTAATAACAGTTATTGTAATAGTAGTTGCAGATGTAGTAACAGTTGTTGTAGATGTAGTAATAGTAGTTGCAGATGTAGTAACACTTTTTGTAATAATATTTGTAGATGTAGTAACACTTATTGTAATAGTAGTTGTAGATGTAGTAACAGTTGTTGTAATAGTAGTTGTAGACGTAATAACAGTTATTGTAATAGTAGTTGCAGTTATTGGTGTACTAGAAGTGGTAGTATTAATTACTTAAAGTTGTTGTAGTAGTAATACTAGTAGTGTCAGTAGTTAGTCATATCTGCTTACCCTTCCGGAGCACATGAGATCTCCTCAAGGTTTTGATGGGGTTCGTGTTGCTTTGTCTTTAGTTTTCTATGTTGTGTTTTGTGTACTGTTATTTGTTTATTTGTCTTTTTCTTTTTTAACCATGGCGTTGTCTATGTGTTTTCGACTTGTAGGTTTGGGTGTCCGTTTGGTATCTTTCGCCTTTCTATTATATCAGTTGTTGCAGTAACCGTTGTATAAGTTTTAGTAGAAGTAGTAATGTCAATTTATAATGGTACCGCCTAACAGAGGTTCCCGTGGAAACTTTGTTATAAACAATACCATAGTATTTGTTCCTGTTGGAATAAATATTCAATACCCTTTTGTCCGTTAAAAACAAATTCTGCAATATTTGTTCCAGTGGAAATAATATATAGGAATATTTCTTCCGTTTACAACTTTAATTATGAAAGAACTTCTATATCATTATAGTAGTGTTTTAATTGTAGTAACACTCGTTTTAGTAATAGTAGTAGTTGGTACTTACAGTTGTTGTTATAGTAGTAATAGTAGTAGTTGGTACTTACAGTTGTTGTTATAGTAGTTATAGTAGTAGTTGGTACTTACAGTTGTTGTTATAGTAGTTGTAGTAGTAGTTGGTACTTACAGTTGTTGTTTATAGTAGTTATAGTAGTAGTTGGTACTTACAGTTGTTGTTATAGTAGTTATAGTAGTAATTAGTACTTACAGGTGTTGTTAAATTAGTTATAGTAGTAGTTGGTACTTACAGTTGTTGTTATAGTAGTTGTAGTAGTAGTTGGTACTTACAGTTGTTGTTGTAGTAGTTAGTACTTACAGGTGTTGTAATAGTAGTTATAGTAGTAGTTGGTACTTACAGTTGCTGTTATAGTTGTTATAGTAGTAGTAGTTCTTGTTGTAGTCGTTGTTGTTGTAGTTAAAACTTTTACTTAACAGTTCTAAAAAGTCAGCAGTGACTTGATTAAGAAATCAATACATGACTACCTTTAAATTCCCGAATCTGATTTTGATAGTTTTGCTTTGTTGCTGTTTCGATAACTAGCATTGATACTTTCATGAAATGCTGGACATAAAAATTATAAGGGAGAGCAATCTCTATAAACAAAAAAAAAGCAGAGGAAGAACGCTTCAATACAAACAATATATCAAAAGGAGAGTACTTCAAAAACAAACAAATGTATAAAAGGGAGATAACTTCCATACACACAAATGTATCAACGGGAAAGCACTTTAATACAAACAAAACATGAAAGGGAGATTACTTTCAAGCAAACAAAAGTATCAAAGGTTGACCATTCCATACATACAAATGCATCAAAGGGAGGGCACTTCATTACAAACAAATATATCAAAGGGAGAGCACTTCATTACAAACAAATACATCAAAGGGAGAACACTTCATTACAAACAAATACATCAAACCGAGATACCTTTCATACAAACAAATAGATCAAGGGATTGCACTTGAATCCAAACAAATATATAAAAATATGAGCACTTTCATTGATGTTTTTCATCATGATAGTTGTCTGAAGGCCCTAAAAATTTTTATGACTTTCATCTTTGAGCATGACTAACAACGTTCCTGTCTTCGATATGAACGAATATCTTATGTTATCGTTACATAGTTATATATATATATGTTGTGTACAAGTTATCATTTTGTACATATTATAATTTGTACAAAAAAATTGTACAAATTATAATTTGTATTTTGACTTTGTACAAATTGCAATTTGTACAAAAATTGCTTGTACAAATTACAATTTGTACAAAATTTGACTTAAATTCACTTATAACTTGTACAATATTTTATAGTATGGATTTTGTTATAAACAAGCATTGATACACACTATAGAATGTTTATTCAATGACCACACAATAAATCCTATTTACAAAATACAAAAGTACCCAGATGGAGACAGGAAATGTAATTGACACATGCACGCAAGTTAATTCTAATAGTACAATATAAATTGGCCCCAGTGACAATTCTGATGGAATAACAAAAATTGGCCCCAGTGACAATTCTAATAGTATAATAGAAATTGGCCCCAGTGACAATGTGATGGTACAATAGAAATTGGCTCCAGTGACAATGTGATGGTACAATATAAAGTGGCCCCAGTGACAATGTGTCGGTACAATAGAAATTGGCCCCAGTGACATTCAGGATGACGTTGACGTTAAGTGCCAGGAAGCGTGCGCTGTCTGGCCAACAGATCCAAGCCGAATACCTAACCAAGAAAACGAAACAGAAATAATCAGAACTTGCAGTGGGGGATGATGTCATTATACCAATTTCTCAGTATGATCGTGCCCCAACTGATCCTCGAAATATCTTGGGTGTAATTATTGGCTCTGGAAAACTTGGGTACCGCATTGGAACAGGTGTAGGAATTTGGACAGGATATTTGTCGAGAAATCAAATTGAAGCTGTTAAAGACACATCTTTATTCGCCGCAACGGTTTCTGAGCTTCAACTTTCGCTACGTGAAGCAGTTAAGAAGCTTTCAAAAACTAGTGGTAAGGGGTTTCTTTCGTGTAAATGCAAACGGGGGTGCACCACTTCTAAATGTAAATGCAAAAAGCAAAAGATGTTGTGCAATTCCCGATGCCATAATTCACTCACATGCTCAAACAAATGATACAAAACTATTTTTGTATTTTGTAAATATAAATTTGTGTGGTCATTGAATAAAAAATCCATAGTGTATATCAATGCTTTTTTATAACAAAATACAAACTATACATTATTGTACAAGTTATAAGTGAATTTTAGTCAAATTTTGTACAAATTGTAATTTGTACAAGCACTTTTTGTACAAATTACAATTTGTACAAAGTCAAAATACAAATTATAATTTGTACAATTGTTTTGTACAAATTATAATTTGTACAAAATGATAACTTGTACACAACATATATATATAATTCAAAATACATATGCTTGAGAAATAATAAAATTTGACAAAACAACCGGTTCAATCCTTCTTAATTTTTTAAAAACCTTTTATATAGTGTCATTATTTTTGCACTGGACGTTAATCAATCAACAACTTATCATTATTTTGTTCCTACGAACACTTTTACAGTCCCCATTTTCAGAGGAAACCAAAGGTACAGTAAAAGTCAGAAAAATAACGAATGGATAGTAAAAGTCAGATAAAACAAAAGGAACAGTAAAAGTTAGAGCAAATACAAAAAACTGGAAAAGTCAAAGGAAACCAAAGTAGCAGGAATAGGCAGAGGAAACCAAAGGACATGAAAAATTGTGATAGAAGAAGGACAGAAAATGGCAAAAGATAAAAAGACAACAAAAGATTAAAAAAAAAAACATCCAACAGATAACTTAAAATGAGAAATACACCCCTTACAAAAACGCAGGTGCACCTTAAGAATGTAGTTTCTTACCAAACAACCAACAAACTTTAACAATATATAGATTGATTGACATTTCTACGTTTCCGAACTAGAGATTAGAAATAAATAAAATATAAATAGTAGCGAAAAGCGATTTTTCATTGATATTTTTTCATAAAACATTTGAACTACGAGTTATATTCAAAAAGATATTTAAAAAACTGAAGTGAAGTTATATAAATGCATTGCAGTACCAGAATTTTCCAGTGTGTATATTTTAATTTCCCTTGTTCAAGCTGAAATGGACATCAATTTCTTGCCTTAAGTGATCAATAAAAACAAATTTGACTCTGTGACTTATTTTTTTAGCAAACTCTTTAGACAATATATCAAGATCTCCATCGCTACCAGTGTAGAAAAGCATTGAATAAAATTGACAAAGATCTACTATCGAGCTTTTCTTTCCACTACAAAACATTAAAAATTAAACATGTAAAATCTGATGTTATATGGTCTGTTGTGTTGAGGGATTTTGTCTTATTCAACCACTAGCATGCAACACATACCCTTTTATCTATGTCTCATACAAGTGGGAGTTTTTCTTCCAGAGAATCTTGTTAACTAAAAGATCTCCGTTTAAATTCCTGAAGCAAGTCAAACTATAAACAGATAAACTTATTTAACGTAAAATCCATTCATGTTTTAAATTAAATGTTTGAATGCTTCATTTAATTAACAACTAAATTAATAGTTTCATTGTACAAGTTATTCATTGTTATTAATGTATTGATGTTAGCTTATCAACGTTGAGAATAAGCAATTAGAAATTATAGAATGTAGATTATTTATGAACTATTTACTTAAAACATAATTTAATTTAAGAGTTATGACAGATTATGTTGGTACTATCTGTACCAGGGTACGATTTCACATCAGACAAATAATCAAACTGATATTAGTACTCAAATGCAAATGTCAATGTTGTTATGTTTTCTAGATTTGTTTGTCTTTTTGACGTTTTCATTATTTTTTGTTTGTCATGGTTTATTCGAGTTTTCTTCGACATTTGATTTTTAATCATCCCTGTATTATCTGCTTCCTCTTTTCACAGTTAATTAACTATATACAAAACTTTGAATTTTTTCAAAACACTAAGAATGTTGTCAACTTCGTAATTTATTTGGTCTTTTCGTTATTCGAGCGTCACTGATGAGTTTCTTGTAGACGAAATGCGTGTCTGGCGTACAGAATTTTTAATCCATATACATATGACGAGTTTATTAACTGATCTAAATCGTGATTAACGTATTAATAAAGCAGTCGTTGCTGTTACACCACTGTCCCTAGTTATGGAAAGTCGAGGGCTTAAAGACATGTGTAACCCCACTTCATGTGCCTATCCCCAGCCAGAAATGAACGTGAAGAGAGAAAACGTTTTAATTTTTTTTTTTGGTATATTTGCATTTATTTAAATCATACCGTTAGTTCTAAATGTTGTATCTTTTTAAACGTTTTTTTTAATTCTAGTGTCTTTTAAAAACTTACTATACGATATACGTTGTTGATCACTGGACGGTCGTACTGCGATCTGTAGTTAACATCTGGCCTTTGGGTGTTAGTTGTATCATTGACCATCATACCGCACCCCTCATTTCTATAATAATTTGTTTGTAACTGTTATACTCTACCACGAAGAAGAAATGTTACTAGCAGTATAATGCTGTTATAAATATTACATGTATTACTTAACATTGAAAGAAGTAACAAAAGCACTGTTATTCATTATTTCGAACCAGTTGGGCTCCTTGACACAAAAGTTAAATATACATGTACCAAATAAAATATAGAATGGAAACGGGGAATGTGTCAAAGAGACAACACCCCGACCATAGAGCAGAAAACATCCCAAGGGCTCACATGGGTCTTCAACGTAGTGAGAAAATGCTACAACCAGAGGCGGTTTTCAGCTGGCCGTATACAAAAATGTATATACTAGTTTAGCAAAAATGACGCCACACTTAACTCCAAAACATACAAATGAACCAAAATTAACAAAAAACACACAAGAATAACAAAGGCTGGATGTTCCTGACTAGAGACAGGCACAAAAAACGCGGCGGGGTTTAACATTTGTTGTTGGATCTAAACCATCCCCTCATACCTCTAACCAATTTGGAATAAAAAGACACACAGCAATACGCAAAGTATCTTTCATGCATTTTATTCGTATTTCAAACAATTGTTTCTTCGTCAATGGTCTCACACAAAAAAATGTTAACCAGAGACCAAACGACTAGACGTAAACGTAAGTTAACTTGCGAGTTTAATTCAACATAAATGCTTCACACTATACTCTTATTGTAAATCTGAACATGATAATGAACAAAACCCTGCTCAAATCGGGATATATCTGGTGTACCAAAAGGTTAGATTTGCTAACTTCATGTACAAATCAATTGATAAATCGTATTTATTTATCTTTCATATTGTCATGAAAGC